TGTGTGTGTGTGTGGCCAGCTCAGCCCATCAGGGGGCGGGGCTGGCTAGCATGTGGTGCTGGGGGATTGAACCGCGGTCCCTGTGCTTTGCTAAGCTTGTTCTAAGTAGGTGCTTTAGACCACTGAGCCATCTCACCAGCCCAAGAGCACTTCTTCTTTTTTTTTTTTTTCAGAACTGGGGATGATTGAACTCAGGCCCTTGTGCTTCCCAGGGAAGTGCTTATTCCACTGAGCCATGTCCCCAGCCCAAGCCCATTTTTAATATTTCAGTTTGAGATAGGGTCTTGCTCAATTTTTAATTTGACCAGGATGGATTTCATCTTGCAGTCCTACCTTAGCCTTCCAGAGTGCTGGAAGGCATGTTTATGCCACCATGTCTAGCTCTCCTGCATGGGACTTTCTGCTTATGACAGAGGGTTATCACACTGGGCATGTGACAGTGGAGATAATGGCCATATGTCAAGACCCCTTGGAGGAAAGTGGCGCTGAGGGTCCCATTAGCAGGGGGCTCCCATATCACAAGGCCTAGGGTCCCATTAGCAGGGGCCTCTTTTGCTGCAAGGCATTTTAAAATATTTATTGCTGGCAGTTCTCTGAGTCAAAGGCAATAGTATTGAATCAGTGGTCAAAGATTCCTCCACAGAAGAGGGGGATTGAACAGAAACCTTTACGTGGAGGGCAGAACAGATGACAGGACCAGGATGGAAGACAGTGGAGAGTGGGATAGGCTGGAGAGATAGCTCAGTGGTTTAAGTCCCTGCCTGGAAAGCACAAGGACCCAGATTTGATCCCTGATAATGTGTGCCATGCTGCCTCTGTCCTGGGTGTGCCAAGCTGGCTGTGGAGACTGGGCATGGTGGCACACACTTATAATCCCAGCTCTGCGGAGGCTAAAAAATAGGAGGATCACTATGAGTCTGAGCTTTGTAGGAGACCCTGTACCAAATACATAAAATTAAGAGAGAGAGAGAGAGAGAGAGAGAGAGAGAGAGAGAGAGAGAGAGAGAGAGATTGGTTAGCTCTACTACTCCTTGGCTTATACACGGAGGAATTAAAGTCAGCGTATTATAGAGATATCTACATACCCATGTTTTTTTTTGTGGTACTATTCACAATAGTCAGGATATGGAATCAGCCCTCTTAAATCAATGAATGGTTAAAAAATATGGTATAAATACATATATTTGAGCATAAATAAGAATGAAATCATGGTATGTTAAAAAAAATGGATGGAACCAGAAAGCATCCACGTAAGTGAAGTTAGTCAGACTCAGAAAGATAAGTGTCATATGTTTCATCTCACACTTGGAATCTAGAGAGAAAGAAACAAGGATAACATCAAAGTAGAAGAACAACTATTAGGAAAAGGAAGGGGAAGTGGGTGGATAATGATTACAGTTCGTTATATACATGAGTGAAAATATTGCAGTGAACCCCATTATTCTGTATTGCTAATATGCACTAATAAAAAACAACAAGTTGGAGTCCTTCAGGAAGGCACAGTAGACCTTTGGAAAGGGGAACTCAGTGTTTCTGCCACGTCCCACATTGGGGCTCAGAATTGAGACAGTCATTGGTTCTGATGGAGGATACCCTGGGGTCACTAGCTTGGGATGCTACTGTCAGGTAGGAAATTTTATTTCCACATTTTGTTTAATAACCAGAGGACGTAGAGAAGATTGTGCTTGTGCCATTATCTATTCTTCATTATAGCTCTTTGAGAAGGAAGCAGGTTGCTGTCTTGGGCCTGCTTCTCCTCATCTGCAATCCTAAGATCTGGGCTGTGGACCCACACAGATCTGGCTGTGAAACATGGTCACTCCATGACCTTGGAAGGTCACCTCACCCCTATGAGCTTGTCCTGAGGCACTGAACTCTTCCTATGATGTATTTTGGGTCCATGGCAGTTTCAGGAGCTCATTAAATATAGGCATTAAGAACTTTAAGAAATATATTGAAAGCATGTAAGAACATTGCATGTGGGAAATTACTTGTTTCTCAGTTGTTTTTGTAAATAATGGGCTACTGCTTTTCACAGGTAGTTACTCATCCATGCTCCTGGATTAGGAGTGGCAGGTTTTCTTCTTTGTTCACTTCTGGCCTGCTTCCACTGTCAACAGCACAAAGAAATTCTCAGGGATGAAGTGATTCCTCTGCACAAAAGCTGAATTTGATGTTCGTGATTTTGAGTGTTACTAACTTGATTCTCCTTTGTGTAAAACATACATGTCAGAGATCTTTCGTAAAGTAGCTGTGAGTGCCTCTAGCATAAACAATTCACTCATGTCACAGCATGACCTTTTCTGTCTGTAGAGAGAGCAGGGGTTCCAGTATTATTCCCTTCTCTAGATTTCTCTGATGAGGAGAGAGAGCAGTTAACTTCACTGAGATCTTTGGACACAGTATCCATTTATGTAACTCAACATATTATTTCTCTACTGCCCCTGAAGGAAGGGATCCTGTGTTCTAGATTCCCTTTAGGGTCTTTGTATCAGCTTGTTAATTTACCACGATGTTACCTGATGTTAGGATCACCTGCATTAGAAATAGCTCAGGTTGCCTCATTTTAATTCTTGAATTTTAATAATTGAATTTTAATTATTGGATTGACTAAAGCTGCAGCAGGAAGCTTGGTCAGGAGGGCCTTAAGTTAGAAACTAACAATATGAATTCAAGGAAGACTATGAGTCCTTCCAGGACTGTGACCTTGGGCACGTCACTCAATTTTATTTATTTTTTAATATATTTGGTACAGGGTCTCATTACATAGCTCTGACTCATAGTGATCCTCCTATTTTCAGCTTCCCCAGCACTGGGGTTATAGGCGTGCGCCTCCACGCCCTGTTTCGGTGGATGGCTCAGCATGCCCCGTGGTGGGGCCAGTGTGGCATGTGGTGCTGGGGACCAAACCCTGTTCCCTGAGCTTTCCTAAGCATGTGCTTAGTCTTCTGAGCTATCTTGCCAGCCCAGGTCACTCAATTTTCATGGTTTTGTTTGTATTAGAGTTTCCTAGAGAAGTAGATTTAAATATATATATTTAAATCATATAAGCCTACTTAAAAATTATATATATATATATATATATATATATAATTTTTTAAGTAGGCTTATATGATCAGAAACAAAAGAAACAGAAAACTCCCAATGGTAGGCTCAAAGGCAGAAGAAGGGCCTGCCAGATAGCCCAGGGGATTAAAGTGCCTGCTTAGGCAGACACAGGGGCCAGGGGTTTGATCCCTGGCGTGCTATGCTGGCCCTGCCCCCGGGCATGCTGAGATGGTGATTGAGACTGGATGTGGTTTTGAAGGCTTGTAATCCCAGTGCTTGGGAGGCTGAAAAACAGGACATATTACTGATCTGCGTAGTGAGACCCTGTAGACCCTGTACTAAATACAGAAAAAAAGAAAGAAAGAAGGAAAAAAGCAGAACAATCCAAAATGGCCATCTGTGAATGGAAATCCAGGGGACCCACTAGCAGAGAAAAGCTGAAGGGCTGGAGGTTCACTCTAGGCTCACTGGTATGAGTCTTTGTTGGAAGGCCAAAGAGTCAACGATGGAATGCTGAGGACATTGGAGACCAGTGTTTAAAGGCAAAAGGAAGACTGAAGGTCCCCCCAAAAGAAAAAAAAGGAATCATTTTCTTCTTTCCCTTTTTATTCTATGCAAGCTGCAAGCCTATTGGTTGTTGGCATCCACATCTGCTATGGGTCTTTCCCTTAGTTCGCTGGCCTATATATCAATTATTGATGTACACCCAGAATTTACTCACCTGCTGATAGTTCTTACCCAAGTCAAGCTGTCATATTACAATTAATAATCATACTGTCCTTATTAGTAAAATAAGATCAAATTGAAAAATAATTAAGGTTTTACCTGAGCCTCAGATTCTATGATTGCATAGTGCTTACAAATACGTTTTAGAAAGAATACAGAATTTTACTAAACAGTATGATAGAAATTCAACAATGGTTGTTACATTGCATGTATTTTCACTATATTTTATTCTCTTTAAAAATAAAACAAAGATTAAGATTGAAAAAAGTAAAAAGAGCTACAGAAAAGAAAGTATATTATAATGAATTTGAAAGTAAATGTGAGTAAACATTAATGAAAGCGACACTGAAGAATGTTCTGCTGGCTCTTATTGGAAGAAATGATCGATGATCTCTCTCTGAATTCTGATGTTCTTGCCTTGAAATAAAATCATAAGGGAATTAAGAAATGGGGAACACAGACCACAGAGGCTCATGTGTTCCTGAAAACTCAAGCTGCCATCTCAGCCCCTGCTCTTTGGTCCTCAGCCTCGGAGTCAGTGTACGTGGTCTCTCTGCAGTCCATGAACTCCCAGGGGCAGAGCCAGCCAGTCTACAGGGCTGCCCTTACGAAACGCAAGATTTCAGGTAAGTTCAAAGGATGACTTGGTTGGACCCACAGTGTACTGTGAGTGCTATCTTGCTTCCATATGGTGCTGACCAATAATTACTTGAATTTTATATGAAGAACAGAGGAAACAAGTGGGCTGATTTGGTAACTTTTTGGATGCAAGTATATGTGTTCACATGAAGAGGCCGCAGTGTTCTTGCAGTGAAATCCATCTCATTGTGTGTTCTGCATGGCTTCACTGTGCAGAGGCTTTCCCACAACTGGAGGAACTAAACATGATTCCATGCAGTGGCGTGGTCTGGTTCTTCCATGAATTGCCCCTAGTGAGACATCCACAAAGTGGAGAAAGAAGAGTGGGAGGATGGCCTGCAGCTTGGCACACCTGTGTTATTGCAATGAATGTTGCATAAAGCTGTCACTGAGTCAAAACAAATGTAATGATGGATGGATGACAGACTGATCATTCTCTACTTACGAAGGGACATCTATGTTCCTTCATAGATACTTTTTTACATTGCCTATATATTAATAAATACATAATCTTTTGTGGGCTTCCTGTCAGGCAACCTCCAACATAATCATTTTTATGAATTTACAACATAAAATGAAAGTTATTTTTCACTTGCAAGGAAGTTTCATATATATGATATTTCACTTTTCTTATTCATTGATTGCTGCCATAGAAAAGCCCTTGTGTTGCTTTTTAATAGGCTCAATACTTCTCCCTTCTGCTTCCACACCCTTTGGAAACATGGTACCCCGGAAATGAGGGTAAAACAAAAACCCACGAGACTGAAAAGCAAGATTAAAGATACCTTGTGAATCTTAATTTGTTGGAGATTAACCTAGGACTATAGCTTTATGCAAACTAGTCAAGCTGAATTCTGTTTTATATCTGAATATAAATTTTAATCTCCCTTTAGTTATATAGTGTGAAATGTGAAGACATGGAGTCCAATGTGATTCTTATGGTTGTTCGAACCAGAATTTTCATTTCATGTCATGATTATAAAGGAATAGCAAATTAAGCTTTACTTCACTTAAATATTTGTTTCCTCTATTTTTAAAAAATGATTGTCTAGAAACTTAGAGTACACTGTGTAAACACTGACTTGTTTGGAGGGTCTCCCACCAAGGGGAAGCACCTATTTTTTGCTCTTCTGTTTGCAGATTGGGTTGGGTAGCTTGTGAAGGGAATTGCTGATTTCTTAGGCTGTGTTTACAGAGAGCAAGAGTAGGAATTTTTGCTTTCTACATTGGCCAATCAACTAGTTGTTTAACTCTATTCATTTAATTTTATCTACATGAAGACATGTAGATACCTACAATCTAAAAGCTATACAAGGTGACTAACAGATGGTGCAAGTCAGAGAAGTCAAGGCAGAGACAGTAGTTACAGACAGTTGTCCTGTGTGTCCCACTGTCATTTCAGAAGAGGACGAGCTGGATGTACCTAAAGACATCAGTGTCCGCGTTATGTCCTCCCAATCTGTGCTTGTGGCCTGGGTGGATCCTGTTTTGGAAAAACAGAAGAAAGTCGTTGCATCAAGGTACTTTTGCTTATTTCTTTGTCTTTATGTATGAGCAATGTGTTGTTTTTCTCATCCTGAGAGGATTTGTATTTAATGATTTCCCTTTTTTTACTTATATGATGCTGGCCTCTCTTTCAGGGAATTTTCTCTGGCAATCTAGCTCCCAAAGAGCACATGCGACCAGGGCCTTGTGTGTACTATGCAGAGAAGAATCTTATACTTAATGAGTTTTACCCTGTCTCTGGAAATTTCCTAGATTCCTTTCCTTCACTATTTGTGTTTTGCTTTGTCTCATTAGTATTCTATTCATGTGCAGCTCCACCTTGGTAGTAGTCTTACTGAAGAATCACAGTGGGATGGATTTTCACATAGAATGGTAGACGTGCATTTAATGCCTTAATGTAGTAGTTTTTCATTAGACATTTATTGAACACTGAATTATTTCATGTCTAGCTTGTTTGTGTCCAACAAACTATATCTTACTTTCTCTTATATCACGATGCTGCACTTTTTTTTATATTCATTTGCCATCACAGTAGAAGAAAAACCACTTCTAAGGTTAAAATAATCTTTATGTTAAAAATCCGCTGGTGGATAGAGCCATCAAAATTTTACGTGTCCAGTGACTAAATGGTTTACATAAGCAAGGGAAAGCCAAAGATTTGGTGGCTTAGTTATTGTGTATTAAATCTTGAATTTTTCAGCAACCAGGCAAAGGGAATGTAATGTAAAGTGAATGGAATATACACAAAGATGCACATAAACTGTAAATCATATTGGATATATCATTTCCTTGACTGTCTGCTAGTTAAAAAAGACATCTGCTTCTTTTGAAAGGCCTCAAAAGATTAGTGGTGGTTCTCTTCTAGACATATGGCCCTCCCCAACATTCAATGTTCCTGATTACTATCATCTTTAATTTCCAACATCTTGCAGAAAAACAGAGAAGGCTTGAGTCTTTTTTAGCAGAGTTTCTTCATTAAGTGATGTGGCATGTCTTCAACTGGAGTCTTCTAACTTATTAAATATAATGGGTAGCATATTTTTAATACATCAAATGCTTTCTACTGCAAAGAGACCACAAAGAAAATTTCTTTTAAGAGGAGTCCAGTAAGCAGAGTTTGGCACTCTTGGAGTGGGGAGGATAGGATGGCTGCTGTCTGAGGGGGTTGAGTATTGCTTTCAATGTTTGGTTTCTTTCCAGGAAAATCACACCCCAGAGTATCTTTTATGAGCTCCCCTATCCTGACGCATTTGTTATGCATCTTGTCTCCATTTAAGGTTACTAAGCTTACTTGAAGCCAAATTTTCCTTTGCCTCCTGGCCCTATAGCTATATGCCTGATTTGGCATGAGATGATGCTTTTGTCTTTAGTTTTGAATGGCCAGAATGACTTGGAGGCCAATCTCATCCCTAATGTTCCCCCTTTCTATGGCATGCACATGTGTGCTTTCCTACACCTCTAAGAAGGTAGTTCCCTCCTATGATTTGTTCCACTTATATTCCTCCCTTTGTAATCTTCTTAATTTTTGATTTTTTTATAAGTTAATGTCATAAAGCCATGTTGTTATGTTGAGCTGTGGGGGACTCAGGTCAATAATTTCTGACATTGCCAGTTAAACAGAAGACCCAATGATATTATGGGCTTCTGTACTCTTTTAGAATATTTTGCTGAGTTTACACACCTATAATATTCAACAACGGAACTTAAAAAAAATTGGGGTATAACTATGAATGTCCATTTTGTATCTGTGTATTCAAAGTGGTTGGGATAGATATATAGTTGCATTCTCTTAATGAATAGAATGATTTTTTCTAATGGTGTTTGTAAGTAGGATCACAAGTCTGCATCTTGTACAACAATTAACCACTGAGAAGAATGTATGCAGTGTATTATTTGTTGAAACTGTACTTTCGATTTGATTTGAAACTGTCTCATTGCTATGTTTATCAATAAAACTTTGAAAAGAAAAAAAGTAAGTTAATGTCAGCTTATTTTTTCACAACAGTGGATCCTTATCAAGCTAGAAGAAATAAGAGAACCTAGAAACACTCACACCCATAATCCCAGCACTAGATCATGAATTAATCACAAATTCTAGGAGTCTGCCCCATGAATGCAAGAGACTTTGGGGGGACAACTAGACACAAGCCATAAGACCTGGCATAGAAGTACATATTAAAAAATAGAAAGGGTCAATCTTTTGAGCAGTAAGACATTTTTGATCTTGTAAAAGCGCCAAGCTCCGTCTTTCCTGGACTATTTTAGACACCCTTGGCTGAAATTTAAGCAGTTTCTCTGAGCCAATAGCATAGCCAGAAGTTTAGATATTTCTCCTTTTTAATTTCCCAACCTATCACCAAAAGCCCTCATTTATCCAGGAAAGAAAAGCAACAAGCATTCTAGAACTTAGTCACGAACAATCTGACCAACTGGATGCCTTGTTGTGTTGCATACTTTTACAGACAGTACACTGTGCGCTACCGAGAGAAAGGGGAATCGGCCAGGTGGGATTACAAGCAGATTGGTAACAGACGTGTGATGATCGAGAACCTGATGCCAGATACTGTGTATGAATTTGCAGTCCGCATTTCACAAGGTGAAAGGGATGGCAAGTGGAGTACATCAGTCTTCCAAAGAACCCCAGAGTCTGGTCTGTATTTGAAATGGCTTTTGGGTTTTCTATTTGTGAGCTGCTTCTAAAATCATAGATAAAGACAATTTAGGGAGCCTGTGGTAACAAAGGCCAGCTTGGGCATTTGAGAAATTCACATTAAACCTAAAATTAGCTAATGCTTCTATGTGCAATGCAAAGCAATTTGGAGTAGAGTTTGGTTAACACAAAAAGTTAATAAAGAAGAGAAATAAGTGCAGGAAGTTAGGCGCTGTTTTATTGTCTCCACGTTTGGTCTTCTTCTGGCCTTTTCCCTTAGCAGATTGCTCTGACCTGTGCAGCATGCATGAGCCACTGTTGCACACATTGATGTCCCTGTGTGATGCATGACTCTTGCTTTAGGTCACCTTCTTCTCTCCTGAGGTGGAGGTTGTGCTGAGTCTGGAGGAGAATTTTACAGTACAGCCAATTCTTCTCCTTTAAACTATGCTGTTAATAATTATAATTTGTAAAAGTGGCAACTGAATTTTAATCTTATTTGTATATTTCAATATGTAACCTCAAAAGAAATTCTGAATTCCTAACAGAATTTCCCTAGGTAGGTTGAATTTTACTGCATGAGTTTGTAAAATGATATAAATCGCTATACTCCACAAAGAGCAACTTTTGTCTCATGAACATGAACATAGTAGGTCTTCAATAACCAGTGTGTACTGAGCAGCTATCTGCCCTTTACTTTTAGCATGTCCATTAGGGCACTGTAAAATGTCTGATTATTTGTTGTCTTATAGCTCCTACCACAGCTCCTGAAAACTTAAATGTCTGGCCAGTCAACGGCAAACCGAACGTTGTCACTGTATCTTGGGATCCATTGCCAGAGACCGAGGGGAAAGTGAAAGGTAAGGATGGCATCCCTTAGACTCTAAGCTGATTGACTGATAGATACTGCATCTGTCTGCAGTGTTGGTGACTGAAGATGAACTAGGGAGGCAACATATGTAGCAGAGGTGCTAACCCTGGGGCAGGGGTGGTTGCACACCATTTTATTCCCTAAGACTCAGGTAGTCAAAAAGGTGATCATTCTTTTCATCTTCCCATAGGGGAGGTCTTTGGTGTTGCAACCAGTGGGGATATTTTCAGTTGCATGGGTGTGATACCACAACCTTTGGTATCCTCGTTTCCTTGCTAGGAGCTTTTCATTGTGCCACTCAGACTGAGAAAGTAAGGGTTAGCCAGAGCCCCATAGAACCATAAGTGACTTCAATGAGACCATAGATACTTCTAATGAGTTTGAAAAGTGTGAGTAATGATTTTTAGAAAATGGATTTATTTCTTATTTATCAGCCTTTATTTAATTTAGGTCAAAGAATGTATAACTTTAAGGCAGAAAAAAATACTGAGGCTTTCAAATAATAAAAGCAGATAAAATATTCACAACTAGTTAAGCTAAAAAATAACATGTTGCAAATACTAAATAACACATGAGTCTTTTTATTTCAATGCAAAAACAAGAAAGTTTCAGAAGTCTGGAGATATGTTAATGAGTCATATTTTTTTTCCTGGCAATTACTTATGGATATGTGCCCCAAAAGCAGAAAAGTTGGAATGTTTATTCTAGAAAACAGTATTTTAATTGTTATTAGATTTTTAAGGAACATATTTGTCCAGCATAGCTAGAAACCATGAAATAAGCTTAAGGAAATCCAGAAGATCATTAGGAATCAGTCTCCTTTGAGATTTTCTCAACTGAAGATGTTCTTTTTGCATTTAATCTTAAGTTATCTTTGCTGACAAGTAAGATATATTTTCATAGAACAGTGGAAGTTAAGAAAGGTAGGTATGGGAAATATTTATGAGGTGATTTTATATTATATAATGAATCTTTTAATTATGTATTTGGTACAGGGTCTCACTATGCAGCTCAGACTCATAGAGATCCGACTGTTTTCAGCCTCCCCAACTCTGGGATTACAGGTGTGCACCACCATGCCTGGTCTCTATATAATGAATCTTTAAATTTAAAAAATGTATTATAGTGAAAGACACATGGTCATTAATCCCCATTAAAATACTTCTCACTTCAAACACATTTGTCCCACGTTCTTGTTACTTTCTGGAGCAGCTCTGGAAATCCTCTTCTAGGTCTTTATAAGCTACGATAAAAAATACAGTCTATCTCACTGCCCAGTGCCATCCAGCAGAGAGGCAGACGTGGAAAGGCACTGTGGTGCATTCTCATCTGCCTTGTTCACCAGTTCTGGCACCATATGACTGCTGGCTCTTCCCCAAAATTAAAGTGACCATGACAGGTGAATACTTTGAACTGATTCAGGACCTTGAGGCAGCTATGACTGTGCGAGAAAAGACACTTAAGATCATGTGTTGAACTGCTTCAGAAAGTGACAAAATAGTGGGATAAGTGTCTCCAGGTGTGAGAGAGTATTCTTTGGGAGATTTAATGGCAATATGTCTTTTACTGTAATTAAAAAATTATGTAACATTCCCCTAAGTACGTAATGCTTTCTCATTCCCCAGTTTTTAAAGAATAGATTAGGGTATTCTTCTTGGTCGTCCCTCCCACTGGAATAAATCAGAAACAAATGAAGAAAATAAATGTTTAAATTGGCTCCTATGAATAATTGCTTTTATCACAATTTAAACTTTGGCTCTCTCTGTATTAAGTCCTCAGCTTAAAAAGGTCTCTTAAAATGAAATAAAGACTTTTTTTTGGCTGACTACTATTTTAGTTTCCAAAAGGCAATTATTGGTCCTCTGGTGAATTTATTATCATCCTACTTATCTGTTCTTTCCCTCTCCAACATCTTAGTTTGTATTTATAACTCTTTGGTGAGAAAAGCTGCTAGTCATCCATCAGTTGTTGCCGGAATAATAGCTACTGAATATTTGCATGAGAAAGAGTTATCTGTCTCAATCGTACCCAGTTTTCATAAGGGTGTAGTGGGGGCACAAATGCATGGTGGCCCTGGGACCTTTCCAGTGCATAGAAGTACATAACATAATAGGAGGCTATGTACTTGGACATGGCTAAATTTTCTTCAAATCCATCAACTCCATTAAAAATATGAGTCACAAAAATTTATAGACAGTGACTTCTCTAATGTCTTACCTTTGACCACCACAAATGACTAGTTTGTTGGTTAGTAATGGGAAAAGAACGCTTTGTTTTTCCAGAGAAATGCTACAGAAGCATTTTTGGCTGAAAAATTTTAAATTAATATATATTTTAAAGATTAGAGACTGGGATAAAAATACCTCCCAGGCTCCTACTAATTGCTCACATTTTTATGATTCCAATTGTTTTCTTAGATCACAAATTCATATTATTTGATGTTTTGCAAATGTTAAATTTAATGAGAGGAAAATAGGCATCGCCATTTTTAGTGAGATGGTAAAATTATGTTTTAAAATATGACTTCATATGTTATAATTTTCCATGTGATCAGAGATGCTTTAGTTTCTTGGACTGAATTTTCTATGGTTTTAAAAGTTTAGCACCAAGCAGAGTGGTAATTCTTTAACCTTGCATTCTGGGAGGCTGAGGCAGGAGGATCTTTATTGAGTTTAGTCTGAGCAACTTAGCAAGATGCTCTCTTCAAATTAAAAAAAAAAGTAACAAGGGCGAAGGATGTAGCTCAATCTGAAGGCCCTGGGTTTAACCCTCAAGGCTAGAAAAGGAAAAAGGTAAAACAAGAAGTTTAAGGACATTATGTGTTTACACATACAGTCAGTCAAAGATGGAAACATTAGACATCCACAATCGGTTTTTTAGCAACTAGTTTTCACAGTTTTAAATGCTGTGAAGTATCAGCATATGTTGAGTAAAGACATTTTTTTAGTTCTACAAAATTGGCATCTTATGCCAAATATGGAATTTTTCCAACTTGATATATGAATACATGTAAGCAGCTTGATAAACCAAAACTTTTGAGGATGGTAGCGGTTAATCAGAATCAATTCCTAGTGGTCACCACTTTTTCCCTTGGTTTCTTTTAGTTTGGATATATCCCACCAAGTTAGTAAATAGCACAAAGAAAAAAAAAAAAAAGATCAACGTGAACATTTTTGGTAAGATGTGTGAAGGCTAGCCTTCTAGGTTCTGTGTTTAAGCAAATCACCAGCTCTGGAACCAGCCCCGTCTGGCGGCCAGGACGAGCGTGTGCTCACCTTCCTCCGTGCCCTGCTACTCCACCTGTCCCCTGACATGCGCTGCCTCCGTGTTAGTCCTAGGAATGTGCGTTCTAATTCATTCTGCCAGGACAGTCTGTCCGCTGGATGCAGGACTGTTTCAGTTTCCGCCTTCCAACCATCTGCCAAATCATTTCAGAATACATTCTTTCATATGCCCCGGCTCTCAAACCCTTCGGAGCAAAGTCCCTCACCTATTCTGGACACACTACTTCTGCGCTGGTGGATGGCCTGCAGCCTGGGGAACGCTATCTGTTCAAAATACGGGCCGCCAACAGGAGAGGCCCGGGGCCACACTCCAAAGCCTTCGTTATCGCTATGCCAACAGGTGAGTGCCTCGTCTTTGCACCTCTCTCTTCTACCTCTTCATTCCTGCTGTTTGTTTTATGTTACTTTGAATCATGCTTTGGGTTGAGAGCTTTGGGGTGACAAGCTTATTCTTAAATAGTTTTGTAGTACCTTTAGAAATTAGTCTTCCCAAAGACTAAAACACTGATTGCTGATAACACCAACAATTATGACCTTATTCTTATTGTAGTAAGTACATGAGTCAGCTTATATCATTATATAATGGAGGGCTTATGCAGCCAGGAAAAGAATATTTTTGCAGGTGTAATGTGACATTTTAAATTGCTAAAATGTCTCTTTTACTCAGCATTAACAGTTTCAGTTTGTACTCAATTATGTCCAAGTACAGCTTCGCTCCGAAGAAATTGAATTGTCTGGTGTATCTGATTAGTATCAAAACCAGCAAATTCATAAATATCCAATATTGGAGAGGACTGTGTTTGTACCATGTTTTTTTTCTGCTACTCCATGTTTATGCCATGTAGAAGCAGCTCTATGCTTCCTCATGTGCCACAAAGACCCATAGGAAATACACAGCTTTCACCCAGTAACAAACTGCGCAACAGATAAAGTTTGCTCCCTGTGGGTTCCCCGTTGCTGTAGAAATCTCTCTTTCCAGCGTCCTTTCTCTCAGTCAGTCCTGTTCTTAAGATGGAGTGAGGTACATTTAATTTCACATTTTGCCTAGTGCAAGAGTCTTTTTAAGTTTTGTTTGGGAATTGCAAGTGCATCTACTATGAAAGAAATTTTAAACAAGAAGGAGGAAAGAAGCAAAAGGGGAATAGAACACTCTGAGTGTCTCAAAAATTACATATTTGTTGCTCTCACCAATCACATGCAAGTCATTTTGGAGCAAGGGTCACAATAGTTTGTATGTGGTTTACTCATAGCTCTTGCCTATTAAAAACAGCTATAATATATTTACAACACACTATTTATTCTTTTAAAGGGAAATCTATGTAGGATTTTGTATTTAAAAAAATCAGTGAATTGCAGGTGTTCCTCAGTATCCTCAGTGGATTGGTTTTAGGACCTTCGAGGATACCAAAATCTGCACACTAAATGCCTCATATAAAATAATATAATATTTGCATATCCTATCCTATAAATAATCTCTAATTTATTATATCATATAAATTATCATTAGTTTACCTACCGTATCTGGTAGAGTAGAAATGTATGTACATAGCTGTTATACAGTGTTATTTAAGGGAAAATGATAAGGAAAAGAGTCTATATATTTTCAGTACAAATACAATTTTTTTCCAAACATTTTTTCATGGGAGGTTGGTTGAATCTGGGGATGCAAAATTTGTGGATATGGAAAGTTACTATATTTTAAAGGAGTCATTTCAAAATCTTTTTCAAATAATGGGTTTGGCATTTCATGCAGTCAATTCATTTAAAATATAACTTCTTAAAAAAGAATGCCATAATTTGGAAAGTAAACCTCCAGTGCTCTCAGGAGGAAGAAGTGATCGCCACTCAGAACACCTCTGTACTACTGTTGTTACTTTGTATTGCACAGCTTTTGGATTTATTTATTTATTGTTTTGGCATTTCAAGCATGGTTTTATTTATTTATTTTTTCCCATAATTTTATTGATAAACAAATAGCAATGAGACAGTTTCAAATCAAATTGGTAGGACAGTTTCAATAATTAACACATTGCATACATTCTTCCTAGTGGTTAATTGCTGTACAAGATGCGGACATGATATCCTATTCACAAACACCATGAGAACAAATCACTCTATTCATTAAGAGAATGTAACTATATATCTATCCTAACCGCTTTGAATACAAAGATACAAAATGGACATTCATCTGTATACCCTTTTTTTGTTAAGTTCCGTTATTTGAATATTATAGGTGTATAAACTCAGCAAAATATTCTAAAAGAGTCCAGTAGCCCATAATAGTATTGGGTCTTCCGCTTGACTGGCAATGTCAGAAATTGTTGACCTGAGTCCCCTACAGCTCAACATAACAGCATGGCTTTACTTCTTATATTTCATTTTTGTACTTTTCTGCTGGATGGTTAAGACCAAGGTAAAGCAGGATCTATGCAACAAGAGTTTTAGCTTTTGGGTCTGAGAAGGTCAGTGAAATCTCCTCAGGATTTATCCTGAGATCCTGTACCTCAGATTGTAGACCCTTTGTCAGTGTCAGCCAGGTGGATGAGTCACGGCCATTGCTTGGCCAATGTGCTTTCTGTGAAAGCCTGAGAGAATGTTTTCTCTCCAAGTGACTCTCCTTAGGCACACTCTACATCATCGATCACTTTCCTCTTTGGCCTCATAATCTCCTTGATCAGAAAATTTGGGACACTACTGAGTTACATGACATTACAGTGCAAGTTCTCATATGTCCTGAGTTGGATATTTTTTTGATGCTAACTTTTTAACATTTTTTTATAGCCAGTACCAGCAAGCCTACAGTTCAGCAGAACACAGAGAATCATTGGAAATCTGAGAAGCCAGAGCCTTCCTCCCCTTCACCCAAAACTCCAGCTTTCTCAGAACACACTCAGTTGCCTGGATCTCTCCCTGCCAGAAAAGTCAAGGACCCTCTACTTGACTTGAAGAACAAAATACTGGCCAATGGTGGGATGCCCAGGAAACCCCAGCTTCATCCCAAGAAGGCTGAAGAGTTGGATGCTCGGTCCACAGAAGTCACTGATGAGGAGGCACAGGATTCTTTGGAGGACCCTCACACATCAATCTCTGACATTCAAGAGGAGAGACGAACCTTGAGGCAACCAAGCAGAACTGGCCACAGGGTACCAGTCCCTGGCAGGACTCCACTGAGGTCCCGAATGCCAGTGTCACCCCCCAAAGAAGGCATGGATAGGCATGTGCTCCCACCTGTTGCCCACCCTAGTCCAGGGGCAACCGCCTCTGAGGAGGCCTCCCGGGACCTCTCTCCCTACCATAATGGGGGGCCCTCTGCCAGCTCCATTGACAATGACTCTGTGGACAGAGATGAGGAGGAGCGAGCTGCAGGATTCCCCCACTCCAAGTCTGCTGCTTTCCAGCAGCTGTCTCCTAAAACCTCAGCCCAGTTCCAGCCGTCCCTGTCCCATAGCAATGAGGCAGCTTCCAGTGACACAAGGCCCATGCACCATGGCACAAATCCAGCCTTGCCTGCAGGCAGGACACCCCATTCTGGAGTTATGGAGGAAGATTCCAGTGTTCCTGCTCCACCCTTGAGACTTTCTCCATCCCTGAGGGGGTCTTCTCGGCTGCTGCCCATTCAGCCACACCCTGGCCCTCCTCTCTCCAGGGGCTGGAAGGATGGTCGCTCCCCAGCTGTCAACTCACATTCGCCTTCACGGTCTACCCTCTCTGCCCCAGTCTCTTCCCATCTCTCTTCCAGGACGGAGGTCTCTGAGGGAGGAGATACTGCTGATGGTGGAAGCCACAGTGACAGGAATGCAGGAGACACTAGGTGGAAGGCTGAGGCCACCGTCCCCTCCCCAAGGGCTCGACCTGCCTCTGGACACTTCAGTTTGCTCAGAAACAGGCCCTTTGCTGCCAATGGCAGGTTTCCAAACAGGTTCTTCAATGGCCAGGGATCACGGGTGCAGCCATCCAGCTCCCCCCAGTCCACTTTGGCCTCCCGAGTCCTCTCTCGGGGCAATTCTCAATCCACTTCCCATCCTAGGCTTGGCTCAGATATCCATGGACATGTGGAGGCTGAGAAGCCTCTACCTGCTACTGTGGTCAATGACCACAGGACTGCCTCACCCAGACAGCACCCCTCTGGAGGCTGGGACTCCTCAAGGAGAGGCTCCCAAAGAGGGGCCAGCCTGTACAGGAAAGAGCCTGTCCCAGAGAACCCCAAATCTGCTGGAACAGATGTACATCCTTTGGACAAATCCCCCTCTCTGACCTCCAGGACACAAGATGTTCAACAGAGCACAGATTTGGAGGTGGAGGAGCATTTTCCCAAAACTCAGCTCGTGTCTGCAGGACGCCAACTATCCCCTGCCCGTCCTTCAGCAGCAAAGACTCAGCCCTACCCCGGAGCCAGCATACCTAGAAGGATGGCACCTGGCCGAGTCCCTCACAATCAACCCTCTGTCTCCTCGTCCCAACACCGGCATCCCAGCAGCTCCCAGAGCAAGGACCCTGATCGGTCCCTTTCCCAGCCTAAACTTGCGCTGGCTCCAGCAGGGCGTTCTCGCCCCACCCTGCAGGGCAGCGCCCACTCCTCAGACTCGTTGGCTGGGCGCTCTGGAGCAGGGCTCCGCCCAGCTCCCCGGGGCCAGGACAAGGATTCCCAGAGCAGTTATGAGGACAACAGCACAGAAGTCGAGGCCCTCGATGTCGGCGACCCCACACACACTGTCGGCTCTAAGGATGCCACCCCATCCCTAACTAAATACCATCAGGTGGCTTCTCCGGTAGGCACTGGTGAGGAGAGACCCCAGCGTGGCCATGCAGGGACGTCCTCGAGGCCCAACAGGCCCGGGACCCCTGATCTCCGTCCCAGGGTCCCAGGCAGGACTGAGGGTCAAGTCACACCAGGAAAGAAATCTCCTTCCAAGCGGCCGCTGCCCTCCAAATCTCTACAGTCAGTTTCTACGGAGGAGGAGGAAGAGGAGGAGGCAGAGGAACAGGAAGACGTAGGATTTTTAAAAGGAGGACAGGAGGACCCTCTGTCTTCCTCTGTTCCAAAGCGGCCTTCTTCCTCCATCCCCAGGGGCAGCAAATACTCAGATGGGCGGCTCACCAAGGACAGGCCAGCCATTGTCCTGGCTCCCAGAGGAGAGAGCTCCGCGCAGGAAGAGCGCGCCACCCTGGGGAAGCGACCTCCCCATGCACAGCCAGGCAGCTCCCCAAGAGCCTCCCAGCTTCCCACCGGACACCCTCCTCGCAGCCCTGCCACTCAAAGTCCCATCGTGAGCACCTCCTCCTGGCCGCAGTATACCACCCGCGCCCCTCCAAGTTACTACTCCACCACCCCGATGCTGTCCTTGCGACAGCGGATGCAGCGCAGGTTTCGCATTCCTGGCTCACGCCAGCCTGCAAGGCCCTCCTATGCCCAAGGTAATTGATTTTCAAAAACAGCAGCAGTTGTTGATTTGAGCCTTTTACAGCTCAGCATATTAATATGGTTTTACTTTTTATATTTCGTGGTTGTGCTTTTCTGCTGGATGGTTAAGACCAAGTTAAAGCAAGTCCTATGTAACTCAAGACCTAACCTTTGCATCCAACAAGATCAGTCAAATCCCCTCAGGCTTTACCCTGAGACCATGTACAGCAGTTTGTAGATCTTTTGACAGTTAAAAATGTTCTAGAACTGCAACAAGTTACTAAAGCCACAAGATTACCTTGACCTTGATTGCTTTACATGCAAACATCTAAATTCTGTGGCCAAGACTGTTCTGTCAAGTCCCATAAGAATTAGGTTCTTCCTCTCTCAGAGCTTCTCAGACTACCCTCACCCCTGCAATCTTATCTGCAGACCAGAATGTGGTTTTTCGCTTTAAAGGCCAGTCAAACCTTGCTTCACTGTTGGTTAGCGCCTCCCTGCATGGAGTGCCCCTATCAGTCACTGGCCCGGCTAATAAGCCACTCTCTAAAAAAACCCCAAAAAACAACACACACACACACACACACACACACAAAACAGCAGCCTCCACCCCCTTTCCTCCCCACCTCTCTAGCCTGCCAAGGGGTTCAATAATGTTCACAGCAATTTCTTTTCTTTCTTTTTCTTTTTTTTTTTCACAGCAATTTCTGAGAGGTTCTATTTTACAGTTTTATTTTCCTGGGTATCTAACTGCATCTAAGCACTGTGTTTAAAGCTTCCCAGGTGCAACATAATTCCATCCTTTTAAGTTGTCTTGTAGGGGTAGCAGTGTTTTTCAAATGAGAAAGCTGGAACTCAGGGATCCAAGCTGCTTGCTTGAAGTCAGACTGCTGAGATGTCTGAGCGGCAGTTCCAGTCCCAAATGCTCATTCCATGACTTGCTGCCAGTCTATTATCCCACCCTGCTTCTTCGAATCCCTTGACACTTAACATTCTTAGTCTGTGAGAATGTGTCACAGCCATGAAGTTCTTTTCATGCGTTTACTTGCCAGCATATATTTAAGGAATCAGAAACAACAAATTAGAAATGTATATATGAGGCTTATTTTGTTCTTATGTTCTACATGCAAAGCTTCCAACCAAACATGCCACAGATGCATTCAAATGTCTAGGATTTGAGTTGCTGAGATGTTGCCATTAGTGAGGGTTGTCTGAAATCTGCAGAAAGCCTCATGCCTTTAGTGTGTGCTGAAGACAATTTTCACCTAGAGGAAAGAGACAAATGTGTGCCTTGTGCTTCCACAACAGACAAGAATATAGACAACTATAAATTTGGGCCTAAGTGATCTCTAGAGTAGGATCTAAGGTATTTATCCTAAAATTGCATTCAAATTTGTACTCTGCTTGCATGTAATTGGGGCTTCATGGAACATTATTGAATGAATGTACTAATATTTGTTAATCTATACAATACTCTGTCATTTTGGCTTAATGCAAAGACAGAATAATGCCTCACACTGAGGGCAGTTTTCCCTTAGGACTGACATTTAAAGAAAAAATATGGATGGTTTGATAATGGAAGTAAAACTCAGTATTCCACTGTAGATAGTAGAGACTCAGTACATAATTAATGAGTAAATGAAGGAGGAAGAGAAATAGGTCTATGACCTGCAAGACAGAAAGTTCAGAAAACTTTCATTCTGAGGGGCCTGTGAGATTGAACCACTGAGTGCTCTCAGTTGAGGCCTCAGGGGAGCTGTCTCCTGGGGCAGAGGTGGAAACAGAAACATCAGCTTGAAGGGCAGCTGCTGCACTTCCTGTTTCCTGTCTCCATAAATAATTCCCAGTCAGCACTGGAGTTTGAGCTTTGAGCTATCACTGGCGTTTACACTTGGCAAGTGATGATTTGCATTTGAGTCATTTCGGGATAGCTGTCCTGTTTGGTATAATATGCCAACAAAAGAAGGATTTCATTCACTGCATTTTTGGAGACATTTTTATTTTTTCTTCTCTTCCAATTTGGACAAAATACTCAATGCCCAAAGTTAAGGAAAGAAAGGTTTATTTAGCTCACAGTTTATAGACAGCAAATACACAACCAATTGCCAATACAGTCCTTTCTTTCCAGCAGAATCCTCTTGAGCCTGGTGTTTAGCAACAGGATTTCTGTCAGCATTCTGATCTCCTGAGCTCTGACCAGAATCTCCCATAGAGAATATTATAAGACATCCTAGCTCATCATTTTCTAGCCAGTATGTCTGAACCTTTACAAACTTTCTACAAGCCATTCCCAAACCCACACAGCTAGGTATAGTCATAGCAGTGACCCCGTTTCTTTGGTACCAAATTCTTAGTTACTTTCCTCTTGTTGCTGATACAAAAATACTTGATGCTGAAGTTTAAAATGAGGAAGGTTTGTTTAGCTCACTAGCTGCAAGGCAGAGTGGCTTATAGTAGAGGGCCAACTATTCAGGATAGTGGAGAAGACCAAAAGTAATAAGACAGGGAGAGAGAGAGAGAGAGAGAGAGAGAGAGAGAGAGAGAGAGAGAGAGAGAAGAGGGAGGGGAAGGAGCAGGCCTCTTTCCATCCTTTATATTGTATCCGTTCAACTGAGATTATGATGGTGCCAATCCAATCAGTGAACTGATCCAGCAAGCACCAGCCCTAAATCCTAGTGCATTTAGTCCCAGTACCACAGCATGAATCAATCACACACTCTAGATCTAGCCACCTCCAAAAAAGCCCCATCTAAAAGTGCATGAATCTTTGGGGGAACATCTAGACACAAACCATAACAATCTCTGTCCCTCTAGCTTTTAATTGGCTAAAATAAAGCCATACTTACTAAGGTCTTTAGTACTGTATGGCAAATTCACTTATGTGGCACATTCTTATTACCCCCATATTGTTAGAACACTGTGACTTTACTGTCCTTTTAGAAACATTCTTATTCACCATGCAGAAATCACACTGTAAGACTATTGTTACTTAACATATAGGAGCTACTGGTTTAGTATTTTTTTGAAATAACGTGTTACAATTTTTGCTTTAGAATGAAACCAAGAGTCCAGGAATGTTGAATTTATCAGGTTCTGTTATTTTTAAAAACTTTAAAATTTTTGCACTGTGTAGGTTATAATGGCAGACCCAATGGAGAAGGGAAAGTACTTCCTGGTAGTAACGGGAAACCAAGTGGACAAAGGATTATCAATGGCCCTCAAGGAACAAAGTGGGTAGGGTAAACTTATTTACACATTTCAGTTGTTGGGGAGAAAAATGACGAATACTGTGTTCCAGTAAATTAAGTGGTCTGATTTCCTTTTTCTTCTTTAGTTTTAACTACACCAAGATACTTAAATATGGGTTCTTTCAAGGTTCAGAAAATGTTTGATTCTCTTCAGTAACTACTTTAATATTCTCACAGGTAATTGATGAGGTCTGGGCCTGCTTTCCATTTGCCTTAATGAGTAGGAATTTTAAACAAAAATGTGGCCCAATCACAGCAATTATGCAGAGGGATGGCCTCTCAAATAAATTAATGTTTTCCCTGATCTTCTACCTTTATTTAATTTGTATTTTTAGCTTAATATTTGATCTAATATTGCATGTATTTTCTGCTAGTTTTCTCAAATCTTTTATAAAGGGAAAGCAAATAAAAATGTTCAGGCTATTTATCATGGGTAAGGGATAGAATGTAGTGTTCAGGGACTGAAAATATTCTTTCTTTTTTCTTTTTTTCTTGTGGAACCGGGGATTGAACTCAGGACCTTGTGCTTGCCAGGCAAGCACTTATTCTACTGAGCCATCTCCCCAGCACTTGAAAATATTCTTTCAAAAATAATAAAAATCTGTAATGGAATTCCTAGTCAAAACTTTCCATTTGTATTGTAGTAGCAAAGTCTAGGAAAACATATCAAATAAATTCATGAAAACTTTAATCATAGGTGGTCTTATTATCAATTTTACCATTTCTCAAAGGACCAGAAATTAGTTGCAGGAAGAATGCAAGTGAGCAACTACTTTGACAATAACAATGTGTAATGTAACAACCCTTGTTGACTTCCTATCATCTTCTTTTGAAATTCTATGTCGTTTCTAAATTCTCTTTAAAATAAAAAACACAACAATAAAAACCAAAAAGCCGTTGCAAGCAATTTTGCATTGAAGTAGTGTAGAGTAGATTTCAAGGGTAATACTTATATGAATAAATATTACTTTTGTTAGCAAAATAGCCAAGCAAAATGTTCTGCTTAGAGGACTTTTTCCTGTGGCCTAATCATGCAGAGCAGTGGGTTTCCAATGTGAGCCCACTTAGGGCCGCTGTCAAATATAGACCTGGCGTCAGATCTGGTGGTTTGTCTACCTGATGAGTTGCCAGATGATGGGGAGGCTGTTTTTCTGGACCACAATTGGAGAACCACCTGTGAGCCTCATGAGTTTGTTTCTTCATAGAGATAATAATGTTTTCCCAAGTTTCATAGCAATGACATTGCATTTTATTAGGGAATATTATTAAAATTAGATTGTTTCAAATTTAATAATAAAATAATAATTTGATTTTAAACTTACACAGTAAAACACAAACATTGTATGTTTTTAAATACCAGCAATACGTGTTTATTGCAAGAAGTTACATGCTTCAGAAATATGTGTAAATGATGGATTGGGGAGATAGCTCAGCAGTCTAAGAGCCTGCCTGGCAAGTGCAAGGACCAGTGTTTGATCCCAGGTACTGCATGCTGTGCCAGCCACTGGTACTTGGCGTGGTGGTGCAGGCCTATAATCCCAGCACTGGGGAGGCTGGGACAGGAGGATCACTATGAGTCTGAGTTGTGTAGTGAGACCCTGTATGAAATAAATAAATAAATACATAAAAGATTAAAACAAATTAGAAAAAGAAATATGGGGGCCTGGGGAGATAGCTCAGTAGAATAAGCGCTTTCCTGGCAAGTGCAAAGGGCCTGAGTTCAATCCCCAGTCTGCCAGAAGAAAAAAAGAAATATGTGTAAAAGAAAATGGGCATCCACTATATTAACTACTTTCTCAAAGATAATTGCTATTTTCAGACTGAAGTGTGTCCTTGCATAATTTTTTTTGCAATTTTAAGCTGGTATACAATATGAATATACTTGTCTTTGTAAAACAACAAGCTTTATGATCTAGGTACACATAAATATAGGTCAGTATGTATATCTTTTTTATTTTCTATGTGTAGACCATGATTTATTTAGTCTCTTTCCTCACTTGATAGATCCTTAACCTGTGTCCAACTGTTTAGTATTACATCCACTTTTCTAAGTGCTAAAAATATTTTGAGCATCTTTTGTGTACTTGAGAAACTTAAAACAATTTATATATTATATGGGTAAATAGCTACAATATGAAATATGACTGTCTTACCCTTTGCTTTTGGAACTTTGCAAATAATACTGACAAAAAGAATGTTTTTCTACTTGCACTATGTTTTTCTGCTATGAGAAGTTTCATGCTATATATAAGAATATGGATTACTGAGATCATTTCAAAATGTCCAATATTTTTTTATCTGTGTTATGATTTAGGTTGTGGATTTTGATCGTGGGTTAGTATTGAATGCGGAAGGGAGGTACCTCCAGGATTCACATGGAAACCCTCTCCGAGTGAAGCTGGGAGGAGATGGTCGTACCATTGTGGGTAAGCAAGAGTAGTTTTTAAGTGACAAAAACATTGAATCAGCTATAGAATAACACGTTTTCCTCTTTGTCCTCACTTTAACAGTTGTTAAAAGTGATCCATTTACTTTCAGCCGTGTGGGAAAAAAGATCCTCAAAAAAAGGCAGCACTCATCATTTCTGTCCCCCAACTTTAACGATACTTTTTGTGAAGACATCACTCTCTAGAAATGTGTTTGTTCTTGAAACTAGCCTTGCAGAGCAGGAGTCTGAAAACTATGGCCCTGGGGCAGATTCTATCTACTGCTTGATTTTGTAAGGCCTACGACCTCAGAATAACTATTATATTTTTAAGTGATTGGGGAAGAAAGGATAATTTGGATGTGACACTTGTATAAAATTTACACTTCAGTGTACCTATACAAAACATTACTGGATCACAGAAACATTTGCTATAAATCATGTAACTCATTTGTTTTGTGTTGTTTATGTATTGTCTGTTACTTTTTTTGTGTTACAAGGACTGAGTCAAGCATAGCTGCAACAGAGACTGTGTAGTCTCTGAGAGCTTACTGTATTTATTCCCTAGCCCTTTACTGGAAGAATTTGATATCCTTGGGCCTTCCTTAGGAGTAGGAATGTGACAAGAAATGGAATTATTTCCCTTAGTATCCACTAAGAGTTTTCTGGGGTCATGGAGCATACTGATGAAAGATTTCTACGTCTGTGCAAGGACATTATAATATGCCCAGGATATTCTAGATAGCAGTAGATATTGCTAACCCAGCTGATACACTTTATAGTATTCCTTTGTATTTTACTAACTAAAATTTAATAATACACAAGCTTCGGAAAGATGCATTGCATTCGTTTTTATTTCCTCTGGCTCATTCACCTTGTTGCACGGCTCTTGGTTGATTTCTTTTCAGATCTGGGAGGAACACCTGTGATCAGTCCCGATGGTCTACCCCTCTTTGGACAGGGGCGACATGGCAAACCCCTGGCCAGTGCCCCGGATAAGCCCATCTTGAGCCTTGGAGGAAAACCTCTGGTGGGTCTGGAGGTCATCAAAACAACCACCCTTCCCCCCACCACAACCACATTGCCCACCACAACTACAACCATTGCACCTACCACTACCACGCCTCGGCCCACGAGGGCCACCCGTCGCACGACCTCCACCCGCAGCATGACCACCACACACCGCATGACCACCACCGCACGCCCAACAACCACAATCCGAACTACCATGCGGACAACTACCATCACCACCACCACCCCTGAACCCACCACCCCCATCCCCACCTGTCCCCCTGGGACCCTGGGACATCTTGACGATGATGGCAACCTGATAATGAGCTCTAATGGCATCCCAGAGTGCTACCCTGAAGAAGGTAACCAGCTTTGTTCAGTGGTAACCCAATCCACTTAACTAGTTTGTTGCATTTCAGAAGAGGGAGGCCAAGCCTGTAGGAGAGGGGTAAGTAATGTGCATAGAGAAATGGGAGTTAGAGGCAGCTGTAACCCCAGGAGCTTTGACAGGACTGTGTTCCAATCATGGTTGTTAGATGCAGAAAGTAAGAAACATTGCATGGGCCATAACTATGTAAAAATTACTTGCTATTTATCTTCAATTTAAGTTTGATTGAATACCCTGTATTTTAAGTGGCAGCCCTGGTCATAACCCAAGTTAGAGATTTAGCTAATATTTCTGACATGATTGGTTCAGATAGTGTTTTGCAGAGTATTTCCCATTGGATATTAGTGGATTAGTGGTTGTTATATTCTACAAAAGCAAAACAAAAAATTCTGTGATTAACTATGTGATTTAAACAAGGTTTGATAAAGTTCTTACTGTTGGATCAGTGAATAGTCTCATTGTGAGAAAAGCAGTGTTTGACTGATGAACGTCTTGATCAGCCTTGTGGAAAATGGCAAGCCTCAAGTGGTTGGGCTTCCCATGGGAGCTTGGGCTTCCCAGAGGGTAAGAAGTGTACTGCTCCCCTGCTTTGCTCTACTTGACCTGGGCTATGCTCTCTGGCTAGGGTTGATGTCTATCTGTCTTATTGCTGGGAATAATTCTTCCCTCTAAAGAATGGGAGCTAAAGCATGTTTATCCAGGTTGCGGTACAGCTGACAGATCACCACCATCCTTCCTGCTTGGGGCTGTGTTCAAACTGCCTTAGAAGACACCACCCTAGACTTGCAACAGGAATAGTGGAGATTTGCCTCGGGTTGGCAGGAGTTGCAATGTTGGCCATAAAGCTTATGTCTTTTTAGGCTAATGCAGAGTAAAGACCTTCCTGGAATTCTTACAGTGTCACTGGCTATGATAAATCCAATCAATGTGAATGCAAATGCGGTGTCCAAAATGAGAAGCCTGTTTGAAGTTATTCTTTACATGGAAAAATGCCAAATAAGCAGGGAAACTCTACATATCTAAAAAGTTCAAACAAGAGCATAAGCAAATGCACCCAGAAGGAGAGGGCCACTGGGGAGAAGCCTCTCAATGCTATTTACCCAGTGAGTACACATTTGAATGCACCACCGAGTTTCTTTCTATCAGAGTGACTTCTTTCTTCTACATATATTAATGTGTTTATTTTTAAGCATAGAAGTAGAATAAAAATAGATAATTATTTAATAGTCAGTTGAAAATAAAGTGATTATTTTAGATTTGGTTTTGATTATTGTTATTTTGTTTTTTATTTTGCTTTTCCATAAGCCTTATTCTTTTCATATTTGGACTTTAATTTTGGACTTTAATTTGAACATGAAAGTCAATATTTTTCTCTCGATTTGTGTCTCTTTTCTTTGCAAATCATGATCTCTGTATCCATAGCTTATATCTATATATAATTTGTATATGATATTTATATAATTTATATATTTATAGATGTTATACATCTCTCTATATAAAATATATAGTGTGTATAACATTACATTTGTTCATTAGATTTTCTAATCCAAGCCAAAGAATAATTTGTACCCAGGCAGCCTTTTGAAAAAAGTCTTGTGTGAAAAATTAAATTTGGGGCAGTAACATATCATCAGTATGCTAATGTGCTACATATGTTATTTTAAAAATATTTCTGTTTAGCCTGTCTTTTCATTTCTGCTATTTCACTGACAACTTCATTAAACACTTGCCTTGCGTTAGTTCTGACTCATATAGAAAGCTGTACATATGCAATCAGCACAACTCCTTGAGTTTGGGGATGAGAATACACTTATAAATTCATCTTCACCAGTGAGGCCACAGGCATGTTACCTTTTGTCCCTTTTAATTGTTAGTATTGTTCTTTTATTTTTTCATTTCCATACTACTTCTTGGATTTGCTTTTATTTCTTCCCATCTCTAAGTTTCCCTTACTGTCCTAATTCTCATGTATTATCCTTTATTGGCTTCCTTACATCAGCCTTAACTCACTTTGTCCCCAAGTGACTTAAGACAAGTTCTCAGTAAGGCTCAGGTACCAGCTAAGAGACCATCCCAGGTCTCTCCCAATATATAACCTGCAGAACTACCTTCAACTGTGAGACAGACCTTTGGGGATGCACAGTGTAGTCCCTGCTTCACCCATCATTGGACTGTGCACTCTAGGGTTGGTGATGGAGGAGGACAAAGCAAACAGATATCTAGTATAGAATCAGGTTCTGAAGGTATCTTGAGGATTTGAAAGTTAGAGTAAAATTGCTCTAAAAAAAACTATACAATACATTTGCTGCTTCTTGATTGAATGTACTATAAATGGCGTTGATACATAAAAGTTCTCTCTGTGAATGTCATCTTGACTCAGTAGAGAAATTCTCGGTGAAGCTTAGGTACCAGCTAGGGGAACATCCCAGGTCTCCTCCAACGTATAACCTGCAGAACTACCTGCACATCATCCTCATCACTGGCTCTACCTCTGTGTTAGTGTTTCTGTCATGAACCTTCTCTTTGCTTGAATGGATGGAGTATAGTTCAGTATGTTCACAAATGCTAGAATCCCATGCATACACAACCAGGATATGACAGGCAGCATCTGGGGTGTGATACTTTCCAGCCAAACAGCTTGAAGTGCTTGTTGTTGGAGTGATTTGGAACCTGCATTAGTAATCAATGATGAGTTCGGTGAGGGTCACCTCTGAGTCCCCTTCTAGTTGATCACTTGACCCCATTTCTAGTTGACTACTTGCCATTCTACTCCTTTTGCAAATCCTAACATTTTGTTTATAGCCCTGCAGTCTGAAAGATGCCTTTTAAAAATCTTAAAGTGCTTATTCTAGTTAAATCATGCCCTTCTTCTTTCTTTTAAAACTTGACCTTTAAATAATGTTCTGGGAATACACTTGGACTGTTCAGTTGTTCGAGTAATTCAAATTGTATTTCTGTGTACTTCTTCATTGGTTATGGATGCCATACTTCCCTGTAGGCAAAGATGCACATTATATGCCTGTTTCCTCTGTTTTACTGAATTTTCCACTCTTACACACACACACACACACACACACACACACACACACACACACAATTTTTTGTTTTTTTTTTCTTTTTGATTTTTTTCATCTGATAAGCTGCTTGTAGCTAAGACAGTGACTTGTGCTTTATCTCTAGTTCTTTATGTGTCTTTGCCACTTGCTGATTATTGATAGAAAATACCCAACTCCCACAACTTAAATGAAATGAAGTTTATTTTGGTTCATTGTTTTTAGGGGATCCAGTCTATAGTTGACTGGCTTCAGAGAAGGAAGGGCATGGTAGAAAGGTTTGATGAAGAAAAGGTGCTCAAGTCATGGTAGGCAGGATCAGGGAGAGAAGGGAAGAGCCTGGGAGACAGATAGGTATATCCCTCCAGGTCATACCACCAGTGGCCCACTTATTCCAACCAAACTCCACCTATTAGCAATATTCTCAGCTCAGAACTCTTCAGTGGATTAATCTACTGATGATCATAGGAACCCCACAATACAATGACCTTTCAACATTCCAACCTCTAAACAGATGAGCTTTTTGGGGACATACATGACCATCAATAAACTACTGTAGAGAAATCATCATATTATAGCACCTCACTTGCATATTTCTTTGGGAATCTCTCAGTGTCTCAGATGAAGGTGGTCTGTGTTTTTAACCTGGCAAGTAAAAGCTATTCACCTTTGTCTTTCAGGTTCTGTTTCTGCACTAGATCTGATGAGATTGCGCGTATTTGGAAATGTTAAGGCCAACAGGACAGTCACGAATTTGAAATAGGAACTTGTTGTGTGTTACACAGCAATTCACTTGAGCTGGAACCACCACACCACATGGAAATATGCCCAAGTGCTAATGGATGTCATTTACTCCTTTCTCTAAACTTCTACTGATAAATTCTTTCCTGTTTTGTACATCTCTGGAGTTGAAGATCTGATTCTTACTGATATTTGAACTCCTGCTTGTCATGACCATCAATAAACTATTGAAGAGAACAAGCTGCACTGCCATGGTAGAAGACTGGCAGCTACTTTCACATCAAGAGGTTTAAATTTGTAATGTGAATGCAACATGACTTATAACAAGTCCAATTTTACAAAGTTCCAAATGGTTCATAATGGCATTCGGATGGAAGTTACTTTTATATGGAGTCCAGATGGTGCTAGTTTAGAAACATTTCCCTGGGTTCATTTGCCTTTAAATAAAAAAGCATTAATTCACTCACTAGAAAGTTCACTTATGCCAGAGGTCCAGGGTGTCACTCATCTCAAGAAGTGATCTCAGTTTGCAGGTAAAAGCACCTGTGACTTACTGCATGCACAACTTCAGTATCTCCAGAAACTACCCTTCACACCAGTTGTCTATGAGAAGAATACTTTCTCTTTTTCTTGTTTACCTGAAATGCAAAAATTACATAATTTATTTGTCTTTGACCTGGAAAAATATAATGAAAAAGAAAAAAAGAAGCTGAACTGATAATCAGAAGAGTAAGAGTATGTCTGTAAAAGTTAAGTTGACAAGGGAAAGACTTTGATATGTGAGGAACCCATGGCAAGATAACCACAAACTTTAGTGGATATGAACCTGAAAATGAATTGAACAGGCTCAGAAGTAATCTATCTTGGATCCAGGCATCTTGACATTGGAATGACCTACAGAAAACCTATGTCTGGTAGTTTTTCATTGAAGGGTGGATAAGCTACAACTTGTCTCCTGTTTCTATTCACTGATCTTATTATAACATGCTGTTTTAGTACCTCAGGGGTATGCAGGTACAGGCGTGTGTCACAGGCCTCTGAGTGGTGGCTGATCATGCCGTAATCTGTGTAAGAGATGAGCAGACAACTCGAGATGCCACTGTGCTGTGCTCATGGATTCTGTTTTTATCACCATAATGTTAATGGTTGTCATCACACTGAGCTCCAAAAAGACTAGTAGGAATATTACACTAGCATATCTCTGGGCACTGATCACTGATTTCCTAACCATAAAAAAAAATCAAAATTAGTGCCTATGGTTGTTTTGGTGAAGAGACTTTATGCACCTTCTACTTTATCTCATTGTGTGATGATAGCTCTCATAGAGCATATTTTGGGTTTATAAACAACTGGATTAATTACTTCAACTTTTTAAAAGGAGAGGCAGTTTTATGAAGTGTAAAGTATACAGTCTTTGGAGCCAAAGGACTTGATAAGTTCAAATTTTGTCATCCACCAACTATCATTCAGACGCGTAATTCCTCTGAGAGACTTGGTGTCTTTGCTTAAGAAGTGGATATCATAAGCCTGACATCTCTCAAGGCTATTTAAGCATGAACTTAACTGGTGTATATATAAAGGTAGCCAATAAGGAGCCAAGAGGAGCTCAAGGTGAAGGAATTGGTGTCACCATCTTGAGTTCCAACTTGTCTCTCTCTACAGCTTTCTGAGCATGTGTGTATGTGTGTGTGTGTGTGTGTGTGTGTGTGTGTGTGTGTGTGTACAGACTGTGGCATGGTGGCCAAGTCGTACCTCAGTATCCAGTGCTGTGGGCAATGCACAGGGGGCAGAGGTCACAGGCAGGGTGGCAGAGAGGGTGCTGGTCTGGGAGCCCCAATCAGTGAGGTGATCATTTCCGGTCAGTAGGGTTCTTGACTTGGTCTCTTCTGAGCTCAAAGGAAGCAGGGCCTGGCCTCCATCTTGGTGTTCTGGAACACTGAGGCCATGCTGGCCTTGGTGACCTGTTTCCGTGGTCTGCTGAGGGTCAGTGAATCTTCATGCTCTGGGACAAGGACACTGAGGTTTGTTGAGAAGAAACTTGGACATCTGATGACAATCCCTTCCCTCTTTCCTCCCTAGATGAGTTCTCAGGCCTGGAGATGGACACAGCCACCCCCACGGAGGAGGACTATGTCATATATGATGAAGGTAAGAGCTGACTTCAGAGAGTTACACACATTCTGTGCTGATATGGAGGATTTTATTTTAATTACTGTGTGATGATCTTGATAATAGTTTCAGGTGTGGTGCTGAGGAAGGTAGTTCTAACTTCCTTCTTCCAAATCACCTCCTGGTGTATATTTGTTCTATGAAAAAATGGCATGGCCTGCATATGCATTCTGTTGCTGCTCCCTCACCTCCATTTGTAAAATAATGCAATTATTCTGCCTTCCTCAGGCTCAGCTCTTCTCTTTCTCACCCTTTTCTATTTGTTTCTAATTATATTAAAAAAAAGTGATACTGTAGATTTGATTTCTTACCACAGAATCCTTTCAAGTAAAGATTAAGAATGGAGAGCTGGGGAGATAGCTCAGCGGCATAAGCACCTATCTGGCAAGCACAAGGTCCCAAGTTCAATCCCCAGACCTGCCATGCTGGCTTCAAAAGTGGGTATTGTGTGCACCTCTGTAATTCCAGCACTGGGGAGGCTGAGATAGGAGGATCACTATGAGTTCAAGGTCAGTCTGGAGGACACAAAAGTGAGCACAAGGCTTTCCCTGATTGTGTAGACAGACCTTGTTAAAAAAAAGAGTGCACCTGGGTAGCATTTGGAGCAGTCTTGAGTAAGTGGCAACTAATTCTGCTGTTATTCATAGGGCCCTCAGTGCTGCTCTTTATAAGTTGCTTCAAGTGGAGGGGGAATCCCGTGCTCCTCCATCTGGCCTTTGACACTCAGGCTTTGGATGTCCTCAGGATGTACTTGGCCTTGCTGTCAGCCACCCATAGCCTCACTGTCTTAAATCACAGCTGTGTGAATAATGTCATCTTTTTTTTTTTTTTTTTTTTTTTTTTTTTTTTTT